GATGGATTGGAAAAGGTAAGACTCTGGGGCTGTAAAAAGGGCTATGTGTGCTGGGGGGTCAGGGGAGGGGAGAGGGATGGATGGACTGAGAAGAATGGGTATTTGGGGCAGCGAAATTATCCTGTGTGATGCTCTCACGGCGGATCCATGTCACGATTCACATTTGTCAAAACTCTAGAGTAAACCCCGCAGTGAACTACGGCCTGGGGTGATAATGACAGGTTTTGTGGGTTCGCTGATTGTAACACGTGTATCACTCTGCTGTGGATAGTGTAAACAGTGGGGGAGGCCCTGGTGGTGTATGGCAACACTTTATACTTTCCACTCAATTTAGTGACCCTAAAACTGGTCCAGAAAAGAAGTCTGGTTTTCATTTTTTATTTTTTAAAGATTTTATTTATTTGTTCATGAGAAACACAGAGAGAGAGGCAAAGACACAGGCAATGGGAGAAGCAGGCTCCCCATGGGGAGCCCAATGCAGGACTCGATCCCAGGACCCCGGGGTCACACCCTGAGCTGAAGGCAGATGCTCAACTGTTGAGCCACCCAGGTGCCCCTCAGATGTGTCTTCTACAAATATTTTCTCCCAATCCATGGCTTTATCTTCTCATTCTCCTGGCGGTGTCTCCTGCAGACCACAAGATTTTCACATTAATGAAGTCCAGCCTATCAATTACTTCTCTATGAATCATGCTTGAAAATTAGTTCCACCTTTGGACGTTTTGATTACCTGAACCAATAAATTCCCTTTTGACTTCAGTAGAGTTGGGTTTTCTGTTACTTCATATTTATTTCCTCAAAATAAAACTCTGGACAGAGTAGACAATAAACAATGGACGTTTTTACTACTGTCAGAGTAATTTTTAGAATTTCTCTCTAAAAGGCTTTTTTGGGCGCCTGGGTGTTCAGACCATTAAGCGTCTGCCTTTGGCTCAGGTAATGATCTCAGGGTCCCAGGATCGAGCCCCACATTGGGCTCCCTGTTCAGTGGAGGAGTCTGCGTCTCCCTCTCCCTCTGCTTGTCAGCCCTGCCCATGCTCTCTCTCTCTCTCTCAAATAAATAAATAGACTCTTTAAAAAAAAGGCTTTTGATTTTGAAACTGACGTTCAATTTCATGACTAAATTTACAAAAATTAGAGTTATGTCTAGACTTCCCCATTTGGAGCTTTTTCCTTCACTACATCTCTTAATGACATAAAATATTTTTAGAAAGATTTTTAGAAGGAGAAGAAGAGAGACACCATGGTATTTCAAACCCAAGCATTCTCAGAAATGTAATTCTTTTGCCCTTTACACATGCGAAAAAAACACCTCAGACTCATACAATAATCGGGATATGGGGCAGCCCCGGTGGCGCAGCGGTTTAGCGCTGCCTGCAGCCAGGGATGTGATCCTGGATACCCAGGATTGGGTCCCGCGTAGGGTTCCCTGCATGGGGCCTGCTTCTCCCTCTGCCTCTCTCTCTATGTCTCTATGAATAAATAAATAAAATCTTAAAAAAAAAATCAGGATATGGTGCTTGTTTTTGGTTTTTTGGTTTTGGGGTGGGTTTTTTTTTGGGGGGGTGGGTTTTTTGTTTGTTTGTTTGTTTGTTTGTTTGGCTGTCAGAACCACAGATGCTGCTCTGAATGCCACAGAGAAATCTTGGAGATGGACCGACTTTTGTTCCTCTCTAGGTGACCTTTACTTCTGCATAGACGTATCGTGGAATGACGGCTCTTCAGGATGAATCTAGGTTCAGTTTGCTTTTTGACATTTTACCTGGGATGTGGTGTGCCTTTCAACCAGCAGAGGCAGGAGCGCCCACCGCAGACTATGGACCGTGGCATCTCCGCCACCTGGCTCCTTATGTGGCATCGCAATTCCACCCTCTTCCCCATGGCTGCTCCTTTCTCCCAACCTTTAGACCTTTCCTGCCTATGAGGGATTTCTGGGGCTCATCCCCCTACACTCTTCTCTCACCCTCAGCCCCCTGGCAGCCCCATTCTCCCCGATTCCCCTCTGTGCATTTTGAGGTTCTGTGCAATTCTTCTTTTTTCTCCCCCAAATACATGATGGCCCTTTCTTCCTTTCTTACAATCCTCTGCTCCTACTTCCAGGAGATTCTAGTGAAAATCTTCCTGAAGATCCTACCCAAATCCTACTGTCCCTATTTCTCCAGCATGCGTTTCCTTCTCTCCATCTTCAAGATGATGAGCCCTTTCTCTCGGTTTGCAGAAAACTTTCCAAATCCCTATGATTTTTTTTAATTAATTAATTTTTTAAAAAAGATTTTATTTATTTATTCATGAGAGACACAGGCAGAGAGAGAAGCAGGCTCCACGCAAGGAGCCTGATGTAGGACTTGATCCCGGGTCCCCAGGATCAGGCCCTGGGCTGAAGGCAGTGCTAAACTGCTGAGCCACCCAGGCTGCCCTGTTTTTTTCTAAAGTGTATTATTTTTTAAATAATTGTGCTTTTAAGTTTATAATTAAAAATTTTTAATGTTTATTTTTTAGTTGATTATTTTTTAGTTTATTATTTTGTAAAGATTTTATTTATTTATTTGAGAGAGAGAAAGAGCCCAAGTAGGCGGAGGGGCAGAAGGAGAAGATCTCAAGCAGATTCCCCACTGAGTATGGAGCACAATGCGGGGCTCGATCTCATGACCTGTGAGATCACAACCTGAGCTGAAACACAAGAGTCAGACACTCAACTGACTGAGCCACCTGGGCACCCCTAAAGTTTATTATTATTATTTTTTAGTAACCTCTGAGCCAGCATGGAGCTTAAACTCACAACCCTGAGACCAAGAGTCATGTGCTCCCCAGGCTGCCTCAGCCAGGTACCCCCTCATTATTTCAGGCACATCCAATTGTATAAATGCAACATAAGGAACACCTGTGGCCCACCCCACACATACTTCTTTGTCTCTTTACTCGCCTAAAACGCAACAGCACCACTCAGACTCTGCATCCCGCTCTGCCCACCGGGATGGGGTTGAGTCCCCTCTCGGGGCCATCAGTGGGACCTGACGTCGCTCTGACAGTGACCATCTCTTCTTCTGTGAGCTATAAAGCCCAGCATGGGAAACTGTGTGCACCGAACCCCCTCGGAGGGCCTTGCAGGGATGGAAGGCAGCCCAAGGCTTCTCAGAAGGAGACAGGTGACAAGTGAAAGGACACTCCTGCAAAGCTCACAGGATTTAGGATCCACCTTCTAAAACACGAGAGAAGAGATCCCTGGGTGGCGCAGCGGTTTGGCGCCTGCCTTTGGCCCAGGGTGCGATCCTGGAGACCTGGGATCGAATCCCACATTGGGCTTCCAGTGCAGGGAGCCTGCTTCTCCCTCTGCCTGTGTCTCTGCCTCTCTCTCTGTGTGTGTGACTATTGTAGATAAATAAAAAAAATTTTTTTTAAATAAAATAAAACACGAGAGAAGGGGCCGCCCGGGTGGCTCAGCAGTTTAACACTGCCTTTAACCCAGGGCCAGATCCTGAAGACCCAGGATCTAGTCCCACGTCGGGCTCTCTGCATTGGAGCCTGCTTCTCCCTCTACCCATGTCTGTGTCTCTGTCTCTCTCTGTGGCTCTCATGAATAAATAAATAAATAATCTTAAAAAAAAAAAACACGAGAGTGTAAAAAAATAAATAAAATAAAAATTAGAAAAATAAATTAATGAAAAGAGACAGAAAAATCAATGAAAAGACACATCAGAAACAACATGGGAGTGTTTTTAAAGCGTTCGGCAGGGATCCCTGGGTGGCGCAGTGGTTTGGCGCCTGCCTTTGGCCCAGGGTGCGATCCTGGAGACCCGGGATCGAGTCCCACGTCGGGCTCCCGGTGCATGGAGCCTGCTTCTCCCTCTGCCTATGTCTCTGCCTCTCTCTCTCTCTCTCTGTGTGTGACTATCATAAATAAATAAAAATAAAAAAAATAAAGCGTTCAGCAAAACTGAATACCAGTTGTCACAATAATCACAATTATCATCCACAGGTCCTGCACCACAGAGTTCCGGGAGGTTCAGAGAAATGTCCTGTTCCAGGCATCCTCTGGTTCCAGTGGCAAAGCCCTTGTAGGCGATGCTGAATCCAGCTGTGTTGTCAATGGGGGGAGGCCTCCCCGATTCTTCATTCTTCTTGAGTGAAAGGACTTCTCCACTGTCAGCATTTCCACCATGGTTTCAGGGGGCTGCTGGGGTCCCTGGCTGCACACCACCCCCTGGCCTCTGCACCCTACAAGGGCCTTCACCTTCATCCTGGCACCTAGGCCCGCCTCTGACTCACAGGGGGCTTTTTGTTTTTATTTATTGATTATTGTTTAAGATTGTATATTTATTTGAGAGAAAGAGAGAGAGCATTAAGTAGGGGAGAAGCCGGCTCCCCACTGAGCAGGGAGCTTGACGCACAACTTGATTCCAGGACCCTGGGATCATGACCTGAGCCAAGGCAGATGCTTCATCCACTGAACCTCACCCTGGGCGCCCCAGGAGGAGGGATCTTTAAACCAGTAATGACAGAAGAAATGAGAGCACAATGAGGGTTCGCCACCCTCCTTTTAGTTTCCTTCCAGAAGAGCCCCTCGGCCTGGGACCCCTGGGAAGGACAGGGCACTCCAGCTCACTAACTGCTCCTCACACGGGCCCAGGTTGTCCCCACCACCTGCCACCAGGGAAGGGGAGTCATTACAGCTCTGGTGCCCGCGAGGCAGCGGGGACTTACAGGCGTCAGGCTCGGCTGAGGCACAAAGCAGGCGAGCAGCCCTTGGGGGATGGCCGCAGGGGCAGGTGCAGGTGCGGCAGGAAGGGAGAAAGAGCACCCCAACCTCAGGCCACTTCCTGCATGTCAAGCTCCTCGCCTCCACCCCCCCCCCCCCCAGCTCGAGGGCAGCGGCCCCTCCACCTCCTCTTTGCGGTGCTCCTGCCTGTCTCTCCCTTATCTCTCCCTGCCTGATGCTGCCACTCCTCTCCAACCTTTGTACCTTGCTCCAGGCTTGTTTTTCTTCTGGACCTGGATCGGGGCTCACTTTCACTCAGGACTCGTAGGGGTGGCTGCCTCACCATGTGCACTGGGAAGTGCTCCCGCTTCGTGGGGCTCTCCCTCATCCCCCTGTCCCTGGTCTGCATGGTGGCCAATGCCCTCCTGCTGGTGCCTCAGGGCAAGACCAACTGGACGAACGTCAGCAACCTCAGTTTGCAAGTGTGGCTCATGGCTGGCTTCATCGGCGGGGGCCTGATGGTGAGCGGGTGGGCGCCCCGCTGCGGGGTCCTGAGCTCGAGTGGGGTGGGGTGGGAGGTGGGGATGGCAGTCTGGAGGGACCTGGGTCCTCCCACCGCCCTCAGACACCGAGGGCCTGTGAGTCCTGGGGGAGGCCCAGGGGCCTGAGCTGAACATCCAAACATCCAAGGGTAAAGGGAAGGAAGGAAGGAAGAAAGGAAGGAAGGAAGGAAGGAAGGAAGGGAGGGAGGAAGGAGCCCCCACTCCCTGTCCCTCCCTGCCCTGCGGGGGCGGGGGGGGGGGGGCCGGCAGCAGATGCTATAGTGCATCCCTCCCTCTCCCTCTGAGGCCAGAGGGAACAGCTGGCCCTGTGGGTGGTGATCAGTGCTGGATGATAACGGGCATGGAGGCTGGGTGTGAGCACCTGGAACCAGGAACAGGATCACAGCTCTGTTCATCCTGCCTGTTCCACCTCCCCATCGTCCCTCCACTCTCCGCTCACACTTCCGGATGCCCCCCTCCATCCTGGGGCTGCTTCGACTCAGAGCTCAGGTGTGCATGGTGGGGAGGGTGACCCTGCCCCCGGCTTCCTGGAGACTCAGATCTGTCAGGAGTGGGGTTGGCGGAGGGGACACACACCTCAGAGACCTCTTCATCCCCACCCTGACATTTGGGGGAACTTCAGGGTAGGTTAACATGGCCATGGGATGTCCCCAGCTTGGCTCCTCACTCCTCAGAGGGCTCACGGGTGAAACTCCCCAGGCAGGGCACCCCTGGGCCTCTCTGGACACAGTGACTGTCCTCCCTGCACCCTCACTCAGCGCCACACTGTGCCCCTTCTCCAGCCCTGGCCACCCGTACCTCCCCGGTCTAACAGTCTAACCGGCCTGCCTCAGGGGAGACCCCCCACGCTGCCGGCACCCCTACCCAGGACATTCCTGGCCCCTCTCTTCCCACCTCCACGTCCCAGCTGCTCTTAAGGAGACTTTCCCGCCTGTGTTCGCAGAGTCCCTTAGGCACCGCGGGGACTAGGGCCACGGCCCTGCTCTCCCTGGAGCTGGCACTCCCTCTAGGACACATACAGCATCCAGAGAGCGGGAATGCAAGCCCCGTGGCTGCCCGGTCCTGTACTTGACAGACACTCGGTTAATAACCTGTGAGCAATACACAAAGGAGTAAGATGATTTCAGGCAAGACAGGCCCTCCCCACCCCCAGGAGACCAAGCAGGTGCAATGGCAAAGAGCTCCTTCCTAGGGCAAGAGGGGTGGGCGTGGGGTGGGGGGGGCAGTGTTCATAGCATTTTCTTTCTTTCTTTCTTTCTTTTTTTTAAACATCACTTTCTATCCCTTTGAATTTCTGAATTTCATTTCTAGGCAAGAGAATGCTTTTTTTTTTTTTCTTTTTCAGATTTTATTTTTTATTCCTGAGAGACACAGAGTGAGAGGCAGAGACACAGGCAGAGGGAGAAGCAGATCCCTTTGGGTAGCCAGACATGGGACTCAATCCCAGGATCACACCCTGAGTGGAAGGGAGATGCTCAACCACTGAGTCACCCTGGCACCCCAAGAGTATATATTTTTGAAAATTTTAAAACTTTTTTCCAAAGAGAGGAGGGGAGGGGCCAGGGGAGGGGCAGGGGGAGATGGAGAGGGAGAATCCTAAGCACACCACCCCCACTCCCACCCACCCCAACGTGGGGCTCAGTCCCATAACCCTGAGATCACGACCTGAGCCCAAATCAAGAGGCAGATGCTTTACCGACTGAGCCACCCAGGCACCCCAAGAATATGCTTTTAATTTTTTTTAAGTAAACTCTATGCCACACATGGAGCTCAAAGTCATAACCCCAGGACCAAAAGTGGAGTGCTGTACCCACCGAGCTGGCCAGGTGCCCCAGTTTACAGCATCTTCAAGGAAGGCCTCAGTGAGGTGACATCTGAACTGGACCCCACAAGACAAAATGAAGGAAGCTACACCACAGCCGAGGGTGGGCGGGTGGCTAGCAAGTACACAGCCTAAGCTGGCACATCTGAGGATCGTGTGGGCAGCCGGGGCAGTAGGGGTTTAATGAGATGAGCCCTGAAGCAGACACGGGCCAGAGCATGTAGACCCTTGTGAAGAATGGGGATTTTATTATAACTGTAACAGGAAAGGTGCCCCGGGGCGGGGGGGGGGGCGCTCAGTCTGGGAAGCATCTGCCTTCTGCTCAGGTCATGATCCCAGCGCCCTGGGATTGAGTTCTGCATCGGGCTCCCTGCTCCGCGGGGAGTATGCTTCTCCCCCTGTTGGTGCTCCCTCTCTCTGTGTCTCAAATAAATTAAAAAAAAAAAAAAAAGTACAACAAGAAACTATAGAAGGAACTTTTACCTTGTTTTGGGCTTTTGAACTTTTTTAAAAAAGATTTTATTTCTTTATTCATGAGAGACACAGAGAGAGAGAGAGACAGGCAGAGACACAGGCAGAGGGAGAACCAGGCACCATGCAGGGAGCCCAATGCAGGACTTGAACCCAAGTCTCCAGGATCACGCCCTGGGCTGAAGACGGTGCTAAACCGCTGAGCCAATCAGGCTGCCAGCTTTCGAACTTTGTTTTTTTTTTTTTTTTTTAAGATTTATTTATTTATTTACGATAGACAGAGAGAGAGAGAGAGAGAGAGAGGCAGAGACACAGGCAGAAGGAGAAGCAGGCTCCACGCCAGTAGCCCGATGTGGGACCCAATCCCGGGGTTCCAGGATTGTGCCCTGGGCCAAAGGCAGGCGCTAAATCGCTGAGCTACCCAGGGATCCCCTGAACTTTTTTTAAAGTCATACGGACGAGCACCCAGATCCTTAACAGACAGCCCAGCAGATTTTTACAAAGCGGAACCCCCATGCACCCAGCACTCAGACCAAGACACAGCTCATTACCAGAATCCCAGACGTGCCTCCCATGCCAGGCACGACCCCCACCAGAGTCCCCACCACCCTGATTTCTAACCCCATGGGCTAGTCTTGCCCGTTCAGCGCTTTATATGAATGGAATCCTGCAGGGTAGCAATTTTGTGTCTGGCTTCTCCAGCTCAACATATGTGTGTGAGGTTCATCCGTGTCATTATGCAGAGGCGTAGTCTGTTATTTCTTGCACGTTCCAGGGTGTGCATACACTGCAATTAATTTAAACATCCTACCATTGATGGGTGTTTGCATAGGCCCCAACTTGGGTTTATTGCAAATAATGGTGCTATGGACATTCCCACAGATGTTTTTAGGCGAACTTCTGTTTGCATGACTGTTGGATGGATACTTAGGAGTGAAATGGCTGATTCCTTTCTTTTTTTTTTTAAGATTTTATTTATTTATTCATGAAAGACACAGAGGAGAGAGAGGCAGACACACAGGCAGAGAGAGAAGCAGGCTCCATGCAGGGAGCCCGATGCGGGACTCAATCCCAGGACCCCAGGATCACACCCTGGGCCAAAGGCAGGCGCTAAAACACTGAGCCACCCAGGGATTCCCGAAATGGCTGATTCTTAAGGTGCGTGCAGGCATTCAGTGCTCATGGATATTGCCAAAGGGTTTTCTGAAGTTCTTTTTTTTTCTTTAAATATTTTTGGGCAGCACCAGTGGCACAGCGGTTTAGCACCGCCTGCAGCCCAGGGTGTGATCCTGGAGACCCAAGATCGAGTCCCATGTCGGGCTCCCTGCATGGAGCCTGCTTCTCCCTCAGCCTGGGTCTCTGCCTCTCTCTCTCTCTCTCTGTGTGTCTCGCATGAATAAATAAATAAAAGCTTTTTTTTTCTTTTTTTTAAAGATTTATTTATTTATTCATTCAGAGAGAGAGGCAGAGACACAGGCAGAGGGAGAAGCAGCTCCATGCGGGAAACCCGATGTAGAACTCAATCCCGGAACTCCAGGATCACGCCCTGGGCCGAAGGCAGACGAAGGCAGACGCTCAACCACTGAGCTACCCAGGGATCCCCGAGTTTTCTGAAGTTCTTATACTGGTTTCCTTCGCACATCAGCAAAACAGGAGCATTTTAGTTGCTCCAGACACTTCTGGGTTTGGGTCCCACCAGCTGGTGTGCAGAGTAAGGGTAGAGGTGAGCGGGTGATGGGAGACAACTGTGGTTGGCCAGGAGAGCTGAGTGGCTGAGTGTGGGCCAGGGGCCAAGGAAGCAGACTCGAGCTACAAACTCAGTGTCTCCTTCTGCGCTTACAGTGACCCTTCTCTTGGCACAGAGTGAGTCAGAGGAGCTTGGAGAACAATAGGAATCGAACACTTGGGATGCCTGGGTGGCTCAGCGGTTGAGTGGCTGCCTTGGATCCTCGCAGGGAGCCTGCTTCTCCCCCTGCCTGTGTCTCTCATGAATAAATAAATAAAAATCTTTTTTTAGGGATCCCTGGGTGGCGCAGTGGTTTGGCGCCTGCCTTTGGCCCAGGGCGCGATCCTGGAGACCCGGGATCGAATCCCACATCGGGCTCCTGGTGCATGGAGCCTGCTTCTCCCTCTGCCTGTGTCTCTGCCTCTCTCTCTCTCCTCTCTCTCTCTCTCTCTCTCTCTCTCTCTGTGACTATCATAAATAAATAAAAATTTTTAAAAAATCTTTTTTTTAAAAAAATAACTAAACACTTTGGCTAAGAAAACAGAAATATCAAAGAGGTAGGTCAATGGAAATTGGTAAACCCCAAAAGCAATTCTAGGTGTCTTTGGATCTGTAGGCTTCCCAGTTAAGCATCCCACCCAGAGGGCCACTGCTGGTTCTGCTGGGAGACATGGAAGAGCGGACAGGGAGTATCTGGAAGAATTCTACTCACTTTGGCAGGTGTTTCTATGACGTCACGAGGAATGAGATGACAGAATTAAACCCTCGGCCCCACCCGTAGAGAGGAATGAAATGATGCCTGGTACACTGTGTGCTACACAAGGCATAGAGAGGCAAAGATCAAGACAGCTGTGGAATTCCAGAGATGGGCAATAGGCAAAGAGCCTGGTGTGGTGCAACAAGATAAGGCCAGAGCCAAAGTGAGCAGCCTCAAACGCCTTCCCCAAGCTCAATCTCTCTCTTTCTCTCTTTAAGATTTTATTTATTTATTTATTCCTGAGAGACTCAGGGATACAGGCAGAGGGAGATAGCAGGCCACCTGCAGGGAGCCCAATGAGGGACTCAATCCCAGGACCCTGGGGTCACGACCTGAGCCAAAGGCAACCATTGAGCCACCCAGGCGTCCTTCTTTTTCTCTTTTAAATATTTTATTTATTTATTATTTTAGAAAGAGAGACAGCGTGTGCAAGAGTGGGGGGAGGGACATGGAGAAGTAGAGGGAGAATCTCAAGCAGACTCAGCACTGAGGAAGGAACTGGACATGGGGCTGGATCCCATGACCCTGGCTGGGATCATGACTTGAACCGAAACCAAGAATCGAGTCTCAACCAACTCAGCCCCCCAGGTGCCCCCTCCTAGAATTCAGACTTGATGGGCTACTCCCTGAGGAGATCCTGAAGGATTTGGGCAGAGAAGAGACCAGTTGAAAGCTAAGTTCATTCTGGTGGTAGCAACGTAGGATGGAGTGTGCGGCAGCACGGGAGCAAGAGATTTAGACATCTCGCAGAAAGGTGGAGAGAATGTCATCCTTCTGGGAGGTGGTGGGGGATTGATCGTCCAGACAGGTTCAAGAATCATTAAAGGAAAACTTGAGGGGCACCTGGGGGGCTCAGTGGTTGAGCATCTGCTTTAGGCTCAAGGCATGATCCCAGGGTCCTGGCATCGAGCCCCATTGTGGGCTCCCCACATGGAGCCAGCCTGTGTCTCTGCCTCTCTGTGTCTCTCATGAATAAATAAATAATTTTTTTTAAAAAAAGGACCAAGATTTTAGGTTGGGGGTCCCTGCACTGCCCATCAGGGCATTCACCAACATTCTCCCCATCCACTCCACATAATCCCAGCTCACCAGACACTCCAACACCACTATTCCTTTCTGCCATGGAGATTTATTGTTATTGAGCATGTACTGAGCCAGTCTTGACCTAAGGTCGATCTGGCATTTCATTAAATCCTGAGAACAGCCCTGTGAGGTGGGTCTTGAAGACCCAGAGAGATGAGGCCATCCCTAGAGTGTGAAGTGAGCACAGGGTTGGCATTAATTGACCCCAGGCCCTCTGACTACGGTTCAGCTGGGCACCTACCAGGCGCCAAGATCTATGGAGGATATCGTGACATTGGGCCCTACCCTCTTGGAGGCTGCAGATAAGTAGGCACGTCAATGATGATATAAGTAAAGGCGGGAGGGAAGCGCGCTCCAGGAGTCAGGGAGATAAGCCTTCCTACAGTCCAAAGGGCTGATGGCATCCCAGGCAGCTCCAGGGGGAGACTAGCGGCCCGCGACTCCCCTGCAGTAAGGTGTGGAGGATGTGGGGAGTGGCGGGAGGACTGGCTGTCATACTGATCCTCCTCTACAGGTGCTATGTCCCGGCATCGCGGCGGTTCGGGCAGGGGGCAAGGGCTGCTGCGGCGTGGGCTGCTGCGGAAATCGCTGCAGGGTAAGATTCAAACGAGGGCGGGATTGGGAAGACCCTCCGCATGGATCTTTGCAGAGTCACACCTGTGGCCACGGTCCCCCGCCAGGTGCGGGAGCTCCTCCTCCTCAGAGTCCCAGCTACGCCCCTGCACTTGGCCTCAGTGGGCGTACAGAGGGACGCTACAACCTCCGACCTCCGCAGCCTCTGGTTCCAGGAGCAGCTAAGGCCCAGCCCCCGGGTTTGCAGGGAGGGTTTTTTGTTTTGTTTTGTTTTGTTTTTTTAAGATTTTATTCATTTATTTGAGAGAGAGAGAGAGAGAGAGCGAGCACGGGAGCACGAAAGGGGGCAGATGGAGAGGGAGAAGCGGGCTCCTCGCTCAGCAGGAAGCACCACTGGGAGCTCGACCCCAGGACCCCACGACCATGATCCCAGTCGAAAGCAGATGCTTAACGGACTGAGCTCCCCAGATGCCCAGGGAGATGTATTTTGCATGCGCCGGGAGCCCCGGGAGGTAAGGTGCACGCGTGGGAGGGGCGGCCTGCTCACTTCTCCTTCCATGGCACATCCAGATGCTGCGCTCCATCTTCTCCTCGGCCTTCGGGGTGCTGGGTGCCATCTACTGCCTGTCAGTGTCGGGAGCCGGGCTCCGAATCGGACCCAATTGCTTAATGAACGGCCACTGGGAATATCACTTCAAAGACACCGAGTAAGGCTTCGCTTGCCCCTCTCCGCCCCACCTTTCCCACCTGGATACCCAACCTGCGGTGGGGGGGATGCACCTGGCCAGGGCCTCCTCCACGTGGGCCACATGAGCAAACCTCCCTGGACACCTGCACGGGGCTGCAGGGAGGGCACACCCTCTCATGTGACCCTGCCCCCCCTCACCCCCACCCCGCAGAGGCTCTTACCTGCTCAACCGGACTTTGTGGGACTTGTGCGTGGAGCCACCGGGCGTGGTCTCCTGGAATGTGACTCTCTTCTCCCTGCTGGTGGCCGCCTCGTGTCTGGAGGTCGTGCTGTGCGGGATACAGCTGGTGAACGCCACCCTCGGTGTCTTCTGCGGCGATTGCAGGAAGAAGGAGGTGGGGCACGGTGGGGGTGGAGCTGGAGCGAAAACCCCCTTGCTCCCTGGCTGCGTCCTCACTTTCTCTTTTCCGCAGGGCACCCTTCAATGAAGTTCCACTGACGTTGTGCTCCCTCCTGGATGCCCGACTGGCCCACCTGAACCTGGAATAAACTTTTGAACTCTCTGTTCGGGTCTCAGATGATGCCCTCTGTGCATGGAGGGCCCCAAGGCCTCCAGCCACACAGGGCCTCCGGGTGCTCCTGTTTGGGACCCGCCCCCTCCCGCAAGTGTCCTTAACAAGTAGTTATTTGGCCTGTTAGAATGCGCTCACATACAGTGCTAAACAAGACAGGCAAGTTCCATACGCCCAAAGAATTTAACAACCCAGGGGCGTAAGATGGGTACACATTTTTTTGACAGCCAATAGATTACTTCACTTTTAAAAAAACACGCTGGTGATGGGATAGGTATTGGCTGATGGAGGGACTTTTTAAAATAAAATAAAGTCCAAGAAAGTGAAATCAGAGCCGAAGTCTGGTGAATGGACAAGCCATCCAGGTAGCTGGGGGGTTACAGGTGGAGACCAGCAAGGACAGAGGTCCCAGGCAGAAATCCGTACATGGAAAAGCCACTTTCATTTTTTTAAAAAATACTTTTTATTTATTAATTTGAAACAGAGATAGAGAGAAAGAGCAGGAGCAGGGAGAGAGGGAGAAGCAGGCTCCTCACTAAGCCAGGAGCCTGTTGTGGGGCTTGATCCCAGGACCCAGAGATGTAACCTGAGCTGAAGGCAGATGTGTAACCATGGGAGCCCCCCAGCTGCCCCAGAAGAGCCATTCTTTAACTTTTGTAGGAAAGAAAAGGAAACGGTGAAAAAGACAAATTAGTCTAAACTCTAGAAAATGAAAGCTTAGGGTATTCTAATGTTGCTGGCTCCTAATTTGGTAGACATTTCTCAACCTGAGGTCACTGGTGGTTCAGAAAGGAAAGGCCCTGAGCTCTTTTTTTTTTTTTTTTTTTTTTTTTTTTAATGATAGTCACAGAGAGAGAGAGAGGCAGAGACACAGGCAGAGGGAGAAGCAGGCTCCATGCACCGGGAGCCTGACGTGGGATTCGATCCTGGGTCTCCAGGATCGTGCCCTGGGCCAAAGGCAGGCGCCAAACCACTGCGCCACCCAGAGATCCCAGACCCTGAGCTCTTAACGAGGACAATATGTCTGCAGACACCACCGTCAGACGCAAAATTGTGTTCAAGGGCACTTTTTTTTTTTAAGATTTTTATTTATTAATGAGAGACCGAGAGAGGCAGAGACACAAGCAGAGGGAGAGGTAGGCTCCATGCAGGGAGCCCTAGGCGAACTCAATCCTGTGTCTCCAGGATCACACCCTGGGCAAAAGGCAGGCGCCAAAGTGCTGAGCCACCTAGGCTGCCCTCAAGGGCACTTTTCTGGGTGAAGAGTCCGTGACTTTCAGGGGCCTGCCTGGCCTCCTGAGCCCAAACCCAAATTAAGGCCTGACCCAATGTCGGGCTAAGAGGAAGACAAGGAGACGCAGCTTCCTACCCCTAAAACAAGCGAGACCACAGCAGAGACAGAGAAGCTGTAATAGCGAGCGAGCGCGGTGGGACTGGCGGGGGCGGGCGACCTCCTTAACTGCGGCAGCAGAAGAAGCGCACGTCATTGAGGGCGGTGTCATCCTGGAGGCCCATCGGTGGCTCCACCTTGGTCTGCAGACCGCACACGCCTTTGGCGCAGGGCTTACTCCATTTCCCAAAGTCACCCCAGGCCAGGCCAGGCCTCTCCAGCTCCGTGCTGTCGGAGCAGCGGAAGCGTACGTTGTTGGCAGCCGTGTTGTCCCCGAGGGTCTGGCGCGCCTCCACGCTCAGCGAGAAAGCCACCAGAAAGCCACCGCCAGGGCACCACAGGGGCTCACTCCATGAGCCCCACCTACAGGGCAAGGGGAGAAGCACAGCGTCTGAAGTCCCCTACCCCGCCCCTCCATCAGCACCTCCATCCCGACTCGCCCTGGGGGCTTCTCAGCGGGGGGCTGCACCACGGGGGGTAGGGGGGTGGGTTTCCTCACCTGACCTCCAGCAAGGTGCAGGGGAGAGGACTCCCACCCACTCCTCGGAGGTCTCAACTGCCCCGCAGCCCTGACCTTTTAGCCTGTTAGCTAGGAGGATGTGTGTGTAACAGAGAGGAAGGGGTTTATCCACATATTCTGGGGTCCTTGGCCCTGGCCCCACACCTTCCAGACTGGGACTCCACCACCTGCGTGTTGCGCTCTGCGTTCCCCCGTGAGCAGTGCAGTCGGATCCCGTTCAAAGCCGTGTCATCTCTGGAAATGCCTTGGGGGGGCTCTTCCTGGGCAAAGCAGGGAGGGGGGGAAACGGAGGGGTAAGGACCCGTGAAAAGATTGCCATCCTCTGTTCTTGTGCACGCGTGCACAGGGTCCTGCGTCTCCTCCCCACTCCAAGACCTAGGCCTGAGCCCCTACCTTGAGTGAGAACCCGCTGGCGAAGAATCCATCAGGACACATCTCCGGCCAGGCCCAGTCGCCCCAAGGTCCCCCATTGGTCACCTCGATGACCGACGTGTAGTCGCTCAGGTGGTCAGCTTGTGCATGTCCGCAGCAGGTGCCCCACAGCAGCACAAGCAACAGCAGCTTGGCTGCGGCCCCCCTCTCCATCCTGTGGTCTCGGTGAGCTCAGCTCCTTGTGTGCATTTATAGCACCACTGTCCGAAGACTCTGATTACGGAAGGGCCTCCTGGATTAAGTGACACCCGAAACTAATCCATTCCAGGAACCCTGCAGACTCCCACTTTCTATTCCGCAGATGATGGGACTGGGGCTTAGAAATGGCAAGCGACTTGCCTGTGGTTGAGGTAAACAAGCCTGGAACCGCTCCCACACTAGGAAGCGGGAGCTAAAGTCCAGGGAGAGAAATGATGGACAGGTTTGGTCAGAAGCAACCTCAAGGACTCCAGAATTTGAAAGAGCGTTAGAGGGAGAGATGGGACAAGAATCCAGGAACTGGGGGAGGTAGAAAACATCTTCTTAGTAATTGGGGCCCTGACTCCCAGAGAATCCAGGGCACCCCTTCCCCCAAAAAGAAAATACACACAGAAACAATTCTAGGAAGTTTACAGGGAGGGGATGGAGAACGCCTAAGAGCAAAAGATGCTGTTTCTTCCATCACTTCCATGTTCTCTCCCTGAATGTTTTCCTAGCTATGACCACCAGGTGGAATCCTAATTTGGGAAGGAAAAAAAAAAGACCTGAATTTGTCAAGGGGTGAACCCGATTTGCCTGCTCTTCACACTCTCCTATCTTCATGGGAGCCCACATCAACGTGGGGGAAACAGATGATACATTTTCCAATGGACCTTGAGCTCTGTGAGGGCTCTTTTGTCTTCTTGAGAACTAGTACAGGGCATGGATGCAAAAATAGTTCATAAGGTTTGGTTTGAAGAATAATGTGGGTGGCATGCTTGCCCAGAATATGCAACTCTTTATCTGGGGGTCATGAGTTCAAGCCCCACATCAGGCAAAGAGATTCTTTAAAACACACACACACACACACACACACACACGAGATGAATAACTGAAGAACCAGAAGCAATCTGGAGTTTAAAAAAAAAAATGAAGCCACAAAAAATATAAACATTCAAAGCCTAAAGTAGGGATGCCTGGGTGACTCGGGGGTTGGGCACATCTGCTTTCAGCTCAGGGCGTGATCCTGGAGTACCCGGATGGAGTCCTGCTTCTCCCTCTGCCTATGTCTCTGCCTCTCTCTGAGTCTCTCATGAATAAAAACAAATAAATAAAGCCTAAAGTCTAAAGCATCCAGATGGAGATAGGTCTCTTGAACACGGAAGAGTGAATTTAGAAGTGGGCGCTCCCTGGAATCCCAGGTGCCCTATGTTTGAACCTAACACGTTAAGATTTATGGAGCAATTGTGGTAAACTTTTGCATTTACAGTGTTGGCACATACGTTATCATTTAATCCTCAGATGAGATCGACAAAGTACCTATTATTGTCCTCAGTTTACAGTGGCCAGAATTCAAGCCCAGAATTAATGTCGAGCCCCCACCATTGCTCAGTGGGGAAACTGGTTCTCGGGGCCTCTCTTCCTTCTTCCTACAACCTGGCCCTACACGGAAGGCAAACGCAGAGATGTGTGGTTGGTGCTGAATCCCCACCCAATCCTCTCCATTCCGTGAATCCCCCCAAATCCTCTCCATCCGGTCCTTCATCGCTGGGATGCTGCCCTCTGGGGCAAAGGGCGCCAGGGAAGGGGACTTGGTAGGTTAATTATTAATTAACCCTTAGCACCTCAGCGTACCTCGGGCTTCTCCCGAGGAGACGGAGGGACAAGGGCTGGCTGGGGGCCGGTGAGGGGCGATGGCGCCAGCAGCAGGCACTGGGGTCGCGCTGCTGCCGCTTGTCTCGCGGTGCTGGTTCCGCCACGCGATTCCCCTCGCGGTCCTCCTGCTGCTGCTGCTCTATGTCTGTGCCTGGAGCGTGCGTGAGTGTCCCCTGCCCTCGGCTGCCCTGGGAGGAACCGGGAAGCTCCGCGCGGGCGCCCCGAGCCCCCTCCTCACTGCTCGGCCTCGGCCCTCCCCAGAGGTCCTCCCGGGCTGCAGATCCGGGGCACAGTCGTGTGTTCCCCAGGGCCCACCGCCGGCCCAGGTATGCTGGGGACGGGGGTGGGACCCGGATCGCGGGGAGCCCGGCCAGGTCTAGGATCCAGGGAGGGGGGCTGTCCTGCTCCCGGTGTCCCCTTTCCCGTCAGCAGCAGGAGAGACACCAGGCCGACTTTAGGAGTCACGTCTGCAGGGCGCGCCCGGGCTGCTCCGCGCAGGAGGCCCCGCAGGCCAGGGGTTCTGCTCCCGCCCCCTCCCACCCGTGTCTGCCCCCAAGGTCCCGCGGCAATCGGGCCCCCCGGAGGCCCCCGAGTGGGAAGAGCCTCAGTGCGCGGGCCCCCAGGGAGCGCTGGGCCGCGTGGTAGGGCCGTTCCGAGCCAGCCTGCACCCCGAAGGCGATGTGGCGTTGCCGCAGTACCTCGCGGGATGGAGGGCGCTAGTTAGGTGAGTGGCCTTGGGTCCTCCACCCCGGGGCCCGCCTCCCGGGGCCTCCCCCGCCCGCTCTCCGACCACGCTCTGCCTGCCCCCGAACACACAGGTTCCTAACTCCCCTCGGCTCCATCTTCGCCTTCGCCACGAGCGAGGCCTCTGCCAAAGTGATGGCCCTCGAGGCGCGGGTGCACGGCCCGGAGGCGGCGCACTACTCGTCGCTGGCGGCCATGGCGGCCTGGGAGCGGCGGGCTGGCCTGCTGGAGCGGCACGGGGTCGCCCCTCGAGACCCCGCCGGCTCCTCGGGCTCACGCACACTGCTCCTGCTGCACCGAGCGCTGCGCTGGTCCCAACTCTGCCTCCACCGGGTGGCCACCGGGACGCGGGGCGGGCCGGACGCCGGCGCGCAATGCAGCGACGCGTACCGCACGGCGCTGGCCCCGCACCACCCCTGGCTGACCCGTCAGGCCGTCCGCCTCGCCTTCCTCGCCTTCCCGGGCCGCGGCCACTGGCTAGAGCTGGCGTGCCCGGGCGCCGGGGAGGCGGAGGCGCGGGCCGCGCTGGCCCGGGCGGCGGGCACCCTGGGGGACGTCTACAACCGCACGCAAGGCTTGCTGGCCAAACTCGACCTGCTGCAGCTGGCCTGAGGCCCCCGGAGCCCCAAGTGCCGCGCGTCCAGCCCGCCACTGCCCGGGAGGCGGGCCAGGGGCGGGGCCGCCGAAGCCACGCCTCCCTGTGACGCCACCGCCTGGAGGGCCCGCCCCTCCCGCTCTGCGCAGGCGTGGGGCCCGGGGAGGTGCCGCGCGGAATAAAGAGCGTTAGTAGCGAGCGGTGGTGGATTTAGGGCGTCTTGTGTGATGACTGCAGGCGCTTAAGGGAAATAGAAAACAATGAATGTGGGAAGATGTGTCATCCCTGTTCCCGGCAGCCGAGCGACTCACGCCACCCCCCCCCCCCCGCCCCGGGGCCGCTCCCAGCCACTCCCAAGGCTACCGCTCCCCACTGCGTGCCAAGTCTCCGGCCCAGACCTGCGCCCTGAGCCCCCGGCCGCGTCCAGCCGGCTCCTTCCTGGACGCCTCCATAGACGCCGCAGGTGCGGCACGTCCAAGCCCTGCACCTCTGCGTGTGTCCCCCGTCCCTGCCCATCACTAGCACCCTCCCCTGTCTGCTACCCAAGCCTAACACACCTGTGCGTCAGGCCTCACACCGGAGCAGGCAGAGCAAGTGCTCAGCTCATAACGTGTGTTCACGAAAACACGTCCTTGGGCACGCCCACGAGAGTGAGCATGAAAGCAGATGGCCGTGTCACACGATGAGAGCTCTCAAGTTGGGAGTCCAGCCCACTTTCCCCTGCACCCCAGAATCCTATACATGCACCTCCTGATTAGATACCTTCGCCTGGATTTCTGCTAGACATAACAAGCCTAACATGTCCAAGACTGAGCTGCGCATACCCTTTCCTCCCCACCCCCACTCCCCAAATACTTCCTTCGGGGAGTCTTTGCCAACTCAGTAAATGACGATTCATTCCATTCTTCGAGGTCCTTAAGCCAAAAACTTTGTAGTCATTCTGACTTCTGTTTCTCTTGCATCACACCCTCATCTAATCTGTCAGAATCCCACCATTTCCCACGATCTCCGCTGCCATCACCCTTGCCAAGCCAACTTTATTGCCTGGATTATTACAGTAGTCTCCTAATGGACTCTCTGCCCCACACTTGATTCCCCTATTGCGTATTTTCAAAATAACAGCCAAAGTAATCTTAAAATATAGATCCTATCACATCACTTCCCAGCTCAAAACCTTCCAGTGGCTTCCTATTGCACTGAGATGAAAAAAAAAATTTTTTTTAATTTAAGCAGGAAATTTTCTGGCTCATATTTTCAATTGAGAATGATGAAAAGCTTCATAAAAGTCCTGCATGATCTGACTCTGTACGAGCTGAGTTGAACTCTTCCGAATTTCCTTCAATTTCTCAGGCAAGATCCTGCCTCAAGATCTTTGTACTTGCTCTTCCCTCTGTCTAGAATGCTTTTCCCCCAAATAGAGAAATTACTTCTCTCCTTATATCCTTCTGGATTTTACTCAAGTGACTCCTCAGGGAGACCTTCCCTTGTTATTCTTTCTAAAATTTCCACACACACACACACACACACACACACACACACACACACACACACTTCCTGTTTCCCTTCTCTACTTTTTTTTTATTAATATGAGTCACTATGTAATAACATGCTGTATATTGTACTTCTTTGTTTTGTCTCCATTAAGAAATGTAAGCTGCATGGAGCTGAGAACTTCTGTCCATTTTGTTCCTCCATTGCTTCAAACAGTGCCTGCCACCTAGTAGACATTCAATAGCTTTTTGTTAAATGAATCTATGAACATTCAAAATGGTTCTGATGGCTGGAGCCAAGAGTCAAAAAGAAAAAAGGAGATTGCACAATGATGCAAATGTACTTAATGCTGCTGAATCAGACTTCAGAAATGGTTAAGATGCAAAATGGTATATGTTATTTATATTTTACTACAATAAAAAATTTAAAAGTAAAGAGGAAATGTGATTCTGGACAGTTGGTCAGGAGCCATTTCAACGAGGGTGTTATGTGGTATTAGAAGACTATTGTAGATTCATGGGAAGACCGCTTAACACAAGAACAGCAAAATACACATTCTTCTCAAGTGCACATGATATCCTCCAAGAGTGACCATATGTCAGGCCTCAAGAAAGTCTCAATTTTAAAAGATTAGGGAGGCCTCAGTGATTCACTCAGTTAAGCATCCGACTCGATTTCAGCTCAGGGTTCTGAGATCAAGCTGTGTGTTTGCCTCTGCACTCAGTGGGGAGTTTATTTGCGATCCTCTCTCTCTCTCTTTTCACAATTTTTAATAAAGATTTTATTTGTTTGACACAGAGAGAGAGCACATCCAGAGGGAAGGGGCAGAGGCAGAGGAAGAAGCAGGCTCCACACTGAGCAGGGAGCCCGATGCAGGGCTCAATCCTAGGACCCTGAGATTATGACCTGAGCGGAAGGCAGACACCTCACCCAGGCACCCTCAAAAAAATAAATCTTTTTAAAAAATGAATTTTAGGGATCCCTGGGTGGCGCAGCGGTTTGGCGCCTGCCTTTGGCTCAGGGCGCGATCCTGGAGACCCGGGATCGAATCCCATATCGGGCTCCCGGTGCATGGAGCCTGCTTCTCCCTCTGCCTGTGTCTCTGCCTCTCTCTCTCTCTCTCTCTGTGACTATCATAAATAAATAAATTAAAAAAAATAAAAATAAAAAATGAATTTTAAAAGATTGAAGTCACAATAACTGAAATGAAACGAAAGTAGAAATCAGTAACAGGAAGGGATTTGAGAAATTCACATATAATGTGGAAAAGAAACAACATACTCCTGATCTTTTCAAAGAACCAACTTCAACTTCTGTTTTATTTTATTTAAAAAAATGTTATTTACTTATTCATGAGGGACACAGAGACAGAGAGAGAGGCAGAGACACAGGCAGAGGGAGAAGCAGGCTTCATGCAGGGAGCATGACATGGGACTCGACCCCAGGTCTCCAGGATCACACTCTAGGCTGAAGGCTGCACTAAACCACTGAGCCACTGGGGCCGCCCCCAACTTCTGTTTTAATTGGTTCCATTGTTTGTCTGCCTTCTATTTCATCTATTTCCACTCTGATCTTTATTATTTCTTTCCTCCTGCTTTTCTTTAAAGTTTTAGTTTGTTCTTTTTATAGTATCTTAAGGATTTTAAAATAGGCCTTCAGAGCGACAAGTTTCCATCTGAGTACTGCTTATGCTGCACCTCTAAGTCTTGATATGTTTTATTTTCATGATCACTCATCTTAAAATATTTGCCTTGTGATTTCTCCTTTGACCCACTGGTTGTTCAGGGGTATGAGGAAGTGAAAAGACAATCTATAGATGGGAGAAAATATTTGCAGATCCTGCCTGATAAAGGCTTTGTATCTACAATATAAAAAAGAACACTTATGATTGAACAATAAAAAGATAACCCAATTTTGGGGTGCCTGGCTGGCTCAGTCGCTGGAGCATGCGATGCTTGATCTCCAGGTCGAGAGTCAGAGCCCCGCCTTGAGTGTAGAGATTACTTTAAAATAAAATAATATAGGGCACCTGGGCGGCTCAGTGGTTGGGTGTCTTTGACTTAGGTCATGATCTTGGGGTCCTGGGATGAATCCCGCATCTGGCTCCCTGCAGGAGCCTGCTTCTCCGCCTGCCTATGTCTCTGCCTGTCTCTGTGTGTCTCTCATCAATAAATAAAATCTAAAATAAATAAAATAAAATAAGCTAAGGATTTGAATAGATATTTCTCCAAAGAAGATATACGAATAGTCAATTAGCATATGAAAATATGCTCAACCTCACTAATCATTAAGGAAACGGGTGGGGAAGCTATCCAAGATGGCATTTCACGCCCACAAGGATGGCTAAAATTAATTCACAGTGACCATGAGAGATGTGGAGAAATGGGAATGCTCATGCACGCACACTGGGTTGGCGGGCCATCCCACGGGGCAGTTGCTATGCAAAAAAAAATACAAAGTATAGATGCAAAGTATAGAGTCCCTACACGACCCAGCAGTTGTACTCCTCGCTTACAGAGCTAGGTATACACCTAAGAGAAAGCAGAGGTGCGCAGTCATTGGCATTCAGAGACGCTCAGGGCGTCCCCAGACTCTGAACTACAACTCCCATCAGGTTACGTAAACCCCGCGATGCTCTATGGGAAGCGTAGGCCGCGCACACGGTCCCGGGAACTTTTCGGGTTTGTAGGCTGTCCACAATGCCATCAAGCGCTCACTGTCGCAAAAGAACCTCACCAGTACGATACTTTTTCCTCCCGCCGTCAAGCGTGACTTAGCTGCGTCCACAGACTGCTTCCCCGCGGGACTGAACAGTGACAGGGCCCTTTACGACAGTTGCTTTGTGGCACTGCCGGGAGAGGAAGATGGCGGCCACCTTGCTAACTGCTCGAGGAGCGGGGTCCGCGCCGGCCTGGGGTGCCGAGGCCATCACCCCGGACTGGGAGACTCGGGAAGTCTCCACAGGGGTGAGGAGGCACTCGGGGTCCAGGAGATGCGCGCAAGGCGTGAGGCGAGGGAAGGCGGAGGCCTGAGAGGGTTGGAGAGCTGGAGGGCGGGGGCGGGGGAGAAGGTCTGATGTGCGGGAGCAGGGACGACGTATCCTGTGGATGCCGGAGACGAGTGTGGTACCTTAGGGGCGGGAGGTGGGAGGGAGGCGGGAGCGCGGAATCCTGGGCCTTGCGGGACGAGGGTTTAAGGCCGGGAGGGGCCCCTGGGGATTTGAGGATGGGCGTTGTGGTATTCTTGGGGTTTTGGGGGTCCCCCAGGAGATTGGATAGCGTGCGCCGGAGGCTGCATTGAGGGGTCATTGGAGGGGTGTGTGCTGGAGAATGGGAAGGGGCCCACCGTCACCCCTTTCTTCTTTCTCCCAGACCACCATCATGGCCGTGCAATTTGAAGGGGGCGTGGTTCTGGGAGCCGACTCCAGAACGACCACTGGGTGAGCTCTGGACGCAAATCGGCAGGTCACCCCGTCTTTCCCTTCCTTCTTCGCCTAGCAGTCCATCCTTACCCTGCACAGCCCCCTGTGGGAAGGGAGGGTTCTCCCCTCCTTGGACTTGTGGATGTATTCCAGCTCCTACTACTTTTTCAGGCCCCCACTCACCCTCTGGTGAAACTTTTGTAAAAGTCTGCCGTCTGCCGTCCATCTGGCTTCAATTTGGCTGGAAGCTAATGGCAAATGCTGGAATTTCGACTCCAGAGCTCCTGGAGTAGGTAGAAGCTGGATGGAGGTGGGAGACAAGGGGGATCGCTTCCTCACTGTCCTGCCATCCTGCAGGTCCTACATTGCCAATCGAGTGACAGACAAGCTGACCCCTATTCATGACCGGATTTTCTGCTGCCGCTCAGGCTCAGCAGCTGACACCCAGGCCGTAGCTGATGCGGTCACTTATCAGCTTGGTTTCCACAGGTACTTGTGGGCAGGGGAGGAGCCAGTATGTGCCGAGAGTGGGGACCTGAGGGGCTGAATGGTCTGACTCCCAGGTCCTGATGCTGCCTTCTGTGTCACTATCCTCACCCCCTAGCATTGAGCTAAATGAGCCTCCGCTGGTACACACAGCAGCCAGCCTCTTTAAGGAGATGTGTTACCGATACCGGGAGGACCTGATGGCAGGAATCATCATTGCAGGCTGGGACCCCCAAGAGGGAGGGCAGGTAAGAAACCCTACCCCCACCAGAGCACTGGACCCATGCCTTTGATCCTTTCCCCACTCCAGTCATTTCCGTTTTATTTTTTCTTTCTTTCTTTTTTTTTTATAAGACTTTATTTATTTATTTATTCATGAAAGACACAGAGAGGGAGAGGCAGAGGCACAGGCAGAGGGAGAAGCAGGCTCCATGCGTCCCCCAATGCAGGACGCAATCCCGAGTCCCCAGGATCATGCCCTGAAGGCAGCGCTAAACTACTGAGCCACCCGGGCTGCCCCATTTAGGTTTTCTTCCCAGTCTCTACCTCATTTACTCTTAACTGCCCCCCCAGGGATCCCTGGGTGGCGCAGCGGTTTGGCGCCTGCCTTTGGCCCAGGGTGCAATCCTGGAGACCCGGGATCGAATCCCACGTCGGGCTCCCGGTGCATGGAGCCTGCTTCTCCCTCTGCCTATGTCTCTGCCTCTCTCTCTCTCTCTCTCTCTGTGTGTAACTATCATAAATAAATAAAAAACAAATAAATAAATTAAAAAAAAAAACTGCCCCCCCAGACCAATCCCACATGGACTACTGTATGTACATGTGTTGCAGAGGGTACAACTGGTGACTCTGTCCTCCTTCCATCCGGCAGGTGTACTCGGTGCCCATGGGGGGTATGATGGTAAGGCAGTCCTTTGCCATTGGGGGCTCTGGGAGCTCCTACATATATGGCTATGTCGATGCTACCTACCGGGAAGGCATGACCAAGGAGGAGTGTCTGCAGTTCACTGCTAATGGTGAGAACTTGGGATTTTGGACCTGTGAACTCCAACCCTCATGTCCAAACCAGGCTAATATTCCTCATTCCTTATAGCGATGCCAGCGTCTGAGTCTGACTGTAGATTTCTTCTTTTGTTCACAGCGCTCGCTTTGGCCATGGAACGGGACGGCTCCAGTGGAGGGGTGATCCGCCTGGCGGCCATTGCAGAATCAGGGGTAGAGCGGCAGGTACTTTTGGGAGACCAGATTCCCAAATTCACCATCGCCACTTTGCCACCTCCCTGATTCCTGGAATCCTAGGCTACAGTAAGAGATACCCCATAGTGACGTAAAATTCAATAAACAGTTTGTCTAAAAGAATTTGCTTTGAGGATCTTTTCTTCACCTCAAGCCTGCACTTGTTTGGCCCACACTGGTGTATATGAACCTCTGCTCTGAGCTGGGAGGCAGTTGGAGACAAGCCTTTGCAAGAGTGATTTTCCAGCCTCCTTTTCCAGACCACCTTTCTCCCCACTCGCTTTTCTTCACC